AGTCTACACCAAATGAATCTCATACTATATGTAGAGACGAACAACAAGGATCTTTTATAACTAACTAATCAACGAGTAGCTATCAATGTGATCCTTGTCTAATCCTTGTAATAATTCCTTACTAATCCCTACTAAGTAACTAGTTTAAGATCTATGTAAGGATTTTCTTACCTGTCAAATTAGACCACCTAGTATCTTAGCATAGTTCACGCGATGTTGACTGATTTAGACTAGTGGACACTTTGCAGTTTGATAGTCAGAATTCTGTCAATACTGAAAGTATTAGGCTGCATATCGATACTACTAATAGTATAACACTAGTACTACTGCTACTGCTACTACCACCAATGTAGTGAACAAAACACAGATGGGAACAATGGAATGTATTTCAGCACAAATTACAGATTATCTCACTAAAATCTGATAACCATACAGAAGAGAGTTAATTTGCAAAATAACAATCAATAGTATCAATCTTGATTGTTCCTTCTGTAAATATCAATGCATCTTCTCTGATTTCACTGTTCATTCATTTTCGTACCGATTGCGCTTCATTTCTGTTCTTTCCTTATCGATCTTCTGCCAAGATACATTTTATGTCTGACCATCACCATGTACTACTTATGTGGGTATATGTGGACCACACCACACTACTAATGTAGTAGTAGTAGTAACGTTGCCAAGTTACCGATTTTACACACCATACACACTGTATGAGATCAAAGTGAATTTCATTCCATAATTCGTATAAAATATTCTGTTTCATTTACTATACATTGATTAAATTAACTTTTCGATTGTAATGATCATTAAAAATTTAGTGTATGTCTAATATATTCAGTTATATACATATTTGCATATTAATAATTGATAATTGAATGATAAAGAGAGGGGAATCTCTAATTACACTAACTTTACTCTTTATATTTTCATAGTTGAAATCATGGGTCAATCAAAGCTAGACCACCATGGAAAAACTGGAAGCACTGGACGGCCGTTCTGTCCTATTGTGGGAGTCCTTAGAAGTGCGCATCCACGATCCCGCACTCGTGAAATTCAAACTCAGAACCTACCAGTCTCGCGCCGGAGCACTTAACCGAAAAACCACTGAGCCGGTATCCAACGGTGTTAATGTATAACTTCAACCAATCCACGAATTTGAGCAAACCGTTCACCAATTGTCTAGCTTCAATTGACTCAGGAATTCAACTATGAAAATACTGAAATCTCGACAAAAACCCCTTCTGATCTTTAAATTTTATTAGATTTTATGAATATGAAGTGATTTAGTTTAATAATAGTGTAGTGAACAAGAAGATGAGTGGAGACTATCTCACTAAAATCTGACAACAGTTAATTTGCAACCTATCAGTCAATTGTCTCAATTTTGACCATTCTTTCTGCAAATAGCAGTCCATATTCTTCGTTTATTTTTGTTCATGCATTTTCATGCCAACTGTGTTTTGTTTTCGTTCTTTCCTTATCGATCTTCTACTAAAATACATTCTCTACCGGACCATTGTCATATACTACTTATGTGGATATAAGCAACCTACACCACAATAGTAATCTTATTGAACAGTGAATATATATTCAATCAAACAAAATGTTTTATTAAATATTGACTGATAACATGTTATATGGACCTTCATGACATCTCATTTTTTGTTGGTTTTTTTTGGTATATATATTACTACCTTAAACATCCAGTAGTAATTTACATAATACATAAGTTCAACTCCATTTGGAAATATGAGTTTTTCTTAAATTTACATATACGTCTAATGGATGATTATCATTGATGTTGATGTTAGTAAAGGAATCTATTATATCATTTAGTAAATCAGTTCTTTTTATCGGTTATAGCACATATTATAATCATACTACCTTACAAAGATTTGTTGTATACTACACATGATCTTTAGCTCAGAGAGCCGAGAAGTGAATTAAATAATTAAATAATCAACAGTAGGTTTTAGCTGCTTGACTGTTATACTATATAAGATTAATTATCATTTACACTGATCAACAAGACTATGGCTTGTGAAAGAGTACTAATGAGGAGTACTTAATAAGGACGAAACAATTGACCAGTATTCCTTAATTTTCGACCAATTATCTGGTTGAAGTGAGATTATGTTTGGAAGCATGTCTTTGAAGTGGTTAAGAATATTTGTAGTTCAGGTAGGAATATTTAAGAGATAATATAAGGTCAGATAACGATTATACAAATTCCATGTCAACAGGATAAACTGTTATTCAGTTATGGAGAAATACTCTCAATTCACAACTTTATAAAGACTGATAGATCCTTGTTTCTAATCTCGTGAAGTGGAATCATGGATGGGCACTGATGCGGAGTCCCCCAATAGGAGGAAACGGCCGTTCAGCACTTCCAGGTATTCCATGGTGGTCTAGCTTCAGTTGACTCATGATTTCAACTATATAAAAAGATTTAAATCCGATCACAATGGATAAGCATTGTAAATGAAATAGAACCTATATTATATTCATATATTTAGTTGAATATAGTAAAGAGGTTCAATGAATATACTAAGACTATGCTCAGATTTAACTGAATAAACGACATTATTTATAAAAAATTATATTTGAAATAATTTCAGTGATTGAAATTTAATTCATTCTAGTATTTCATGCAATAATCCTATCTGAACTTCTTCTTGATAATAATGAAGGTCAAAATTACCAAAGAATATACAACCTTCAAGCAAAAATAGATAGTACCTAACAGTGGAATTCAGGAAGCACGTTTCGTCCCACTTGGGACTCTCAGAGTTGATGTTCACTCTGGGACTCGAACCCAGTACCTTTCTCTTCAAACGTCACCGCGTTATCCACTCAGCTACTGAGTCCTGATAGTGGAAATTGAAAATGCTTTTTTAATGTCGAAGTGAATGTGAAATATGGATTTTCAAATACATAGTTGTGATGTGAAAACATTCAAATTAGTTTTTATTGCAAAAACGGCCACATGTGATGTAAACAGACAAGGATAGAAATAAAGTCCAAATGCTGGCCAATAAGCATTTGTCAAAGATCTGATAGTTGAATTTCATTTTTTCTGTTCACGTTGTTCTGATATGCTCAAATGTATACACATAGCCTCTGTTGTCAATTCTTCTTTATACAGGCTCAACCTTTTTCTGGAGTATTTTGGTTCGTTTATAGTTGATCTAGTGTCCTATTTCTAACGCATGTAACATTATTGCAGAACTATTCTCAAGTTTCTTCGTGTCAACTAAGGATTTGAGAAAATGTTTCAAACAGTACTTGTGTTTCTCCAACCTCTCATTCAACTGTCTAAATGTTTCACCCCCATAAAACTACATTACAGTCATGACGATTAATCTCACAGTCAACGTTCTGTTGTTTTTCTTTTGGTGGCTTATCCTTGACTTTGACTAATATCGGTATTATGGTATCACTGGAACGGGAAGAAACTCTTATATTATGTCTGTTCAGGATTCTTTTAATTTCCTCATGTGTTCGCACATCCTCTCAGTATATACTATAATTTAGTTTTTCTCTCATTCCTCACAATTTTCTTTAGAAACCTCTTTAGAGTAATTTTTAGTCCTAAGTGTAGATAATACTAAATTTAATTCATTCTGTTGGTTATCCTTCTCTGTAATGAGATTACAACCCTTTATTTACGTTTACTTATCAATGATTATCGTCTCGTTAGTATTTATTGCTTAAAGAATTCGACTGATCAAGCTGTAATTTGGTCACAATATATTTATATTGTGGTGTGGTCTACTTATATCCATATAAGTAGTATATGGTGTGGGTCAGACATAGAATGTTTTTTGGCAGAAGACCGATGAGCAAAGAACTGAAATGAAGCGCAATCGTTTGGAAAATGCATGAGCAGTGGAATTAGAGAAGAAACAGTGAAGATTGAAACAATTGGTTGTTAATTTGCAAATTGACTGTTCATTGTATGGTTATCAGAATTTACTGAGATAGTCTTTAATTTTGCTTAAATCCATTCGGTTGTTCCCAACCAGTGTTCTGTTCACTACAATATTGACCCTAAACAACATCATTTTTATAGGCAGGTGGTAAGAACCTCGTCTTTCCTTCCACACATCTTCAGCCATCTAAATGACTGATTTTGTGAGAAAAATTTGCTAAATATCGTTGTATATTAGTGTTCAATGGTTCCAACTTTTGTTAACAGATTTACACAAAAGTTAATTATGTCTTTATTCAAATTTAAACTCCTTTGGAGATTTGTTTATTTACTCAAATACTTTGTAATCATCTTAATCATGAGGGGATTTTTTTGAGATTATAGCAATTTAGCAGTTGCATTCATAAGTCAATTGAAGCTTGACCACCATGAAAGAGCTGGAATAACTGGCTGGCCATCTTGTCCTGATATAGGAATTTTTCAGCAGTGAGCACCCACGATCCAGCATTGCTGAACTCAAACCCAGGACCTTCGGTCTCGCGTGCTAACTCTTAGTCTCTAGACCACTAACCCGCTAGCGCCCAACGGTATTAATGTCTAACTTAAACCAATCCACGAATCCATAGTCCACCATTGTCTTTAGTGAGTAACTGCCTCACAAAAGACACGGCTGAACTCCACTGGTCACGGCTTCTCACTAGAACTCCAGGAAATGCCTCTTGAATCCAGTCACTAGTGTCTACAGCATGATTATTATCAGAAAGGGGTTTTGTTGATATTGTAGTAAGTTTTAATAGTTGAATTTCTCAGTCGATTGAAGCTAGACCACCATGGGAAACCTGGATGCGCGCTGTTGCGGAGTCCTACAATAGGACAAAACGGCCGTCTAGTGCTTCCAGGTTCACCATGATAATCTAGCTTTAATCGACTGATGAATTCAACTATTAAATTCTAATTTCTTAGACATTTTTCCAGTTATGATTAAAACAAATACTGAATGACAAAAATAATTAAAGTATTAAATTACTTTGTTATGTTATTAATTTTCCATACTCTTTTAAAGATGGACTCGTTTTTGGACGCTTTTTTCGCTTTGGATACAGATAATCGTGAAGTTATATCATTGAATGATCTAAGTTCATATAATAAAAAACATGGTCTACAAGATAGTTTTCCAGAAGTAAGCTTAAACTATGTATTTATGGTTGATAATTACAATTCCTGTTATTATTTTACATAAAACTGGGAATTATGTGTACTACCTGTTGTCATAATCGGTCGGTCATTTCAAAATCAGCTGATTATAATTCATATTTTATTAACCTTAGAACTAGATAACATAATTGAACTCTTCTGGTTACCATACCCAGTACCAAGCAGTTACTTATCGATAGAATCAGAAGATTTGAAAATGACGTATATCAGTTAAGGTTAGACGTATATAGACCGTTTGGTATTAACTCACTTATCCAAAGGTTAATCACTTATCGTGAACCCTGAATGTCTTCGCTTAGATCTTTGGTAGGGTTCTGTATGTGCACTGTTGAAAAGTCATATACTAGAATGAAATATCTATTCAGATCCTCCTGATTTTCCATAGTTGTTCAATTAAGATCATTGTGTGGTACTAGTTATAAGATAAATATTAAACGGAAAAAAGAGTATGAAAGTGACTTAAAAATCGTCTACGAAGACAAACTTCAGATGTTTTGTATTATCTTAGACTTTCAGAAATTAACAGTAAGAGACACTAAAACTATGGACGATATGTTTAATCAATCAACAGTAAAAATGCATTATCTTTTAAGGTTTTGAGGTAAATATTTTAAAACAGATTGACTTAGTTTATGTGAGATTAGATGGAATACATAATAGTCTCTGTCAATTTCATTGATAATGATGAAGTCTCATTAGATAACTGGACATCCATTTACTCGCACCCGTAATGTTAAGGTTAATGATTTCGCTTGATTATCAATACTTCTATAAATGAAGTACTTCAAAAAAAAACAATCAGATATTGACTTACAGACAAACAATGTAGTACCAATCGGTGTAAAATGCAATCGACTATTTTTCAGTGGTGTTACATACTCCACCTGTAGCTATTCTAGAGTTACTACCGGTCCCAAACCCGGGTAAAGGAGGAGGATTGGACATGGCGTCAGCGATTCCGTCCCGTAAAAACTAACTCGCCAAAAAAACTCTAACCAGAAAAAAATGTATTATGGGTTTAGTAGTTTTATTATCGTCTTGAAAGACATCATTGATACCTACTATATGATATCTATTATTTTGAATATATGTACAATTAAACTTCTTATACAAAATTTGATAATACTTGTACTACTTTTCAGACATTTCTTCGTCGATTTGACGCTGAGAAAACTGGTGTTATAACATTAGAACAATATTGTAAAGCATTAGGTCTTGTTCCAAAACAAGCGTAAGTTTCTTTTAAAACAAAGCTAATAAATTGTTCTATATTAACACAAGGGGGTTTTGTGGAGATTTTAGTGAGTTTATATAGTTAAGATCATGAGTCAATTGAAGCAAGATCACCGTGGAAAACCCGGAAGCACTGGACTGCTGTTCCGTCCTATTGTGGGACTCTTCAGCAGTGAGCGTCCACGATGCCGCCTCGTGAGAATCGAACCCAGAACTAGTTAGACTCCAGGAAATACCTCTTGGAGCTAGTCACTAGTTAGACATTAACACCGTTGTATGCTGGCTCAGTCGTTCTATAGGATCATTTTTAAATCGATTGTTCCCACTCGTGTTCTGTCCACTACAATTATATTATGAATATCCAAAAAGTATTCTTTCGTTAATATTACTTTCTTATTTTATCACCTGACTGGTTACATTGGATGTTTAGTCATAACTTAGTTATAAGAAATTTCACTGTATGCATTAATGATTTCTACAAATTATTGGTATGACTGATGAACTTGATGATACAGTTATTTGATCTTCATTAAAGAATATTGGTGAAATTCCATTGTGGAGATCCTCTTCATTAAGTCATATTTTTTTGTCTGAATTGAAAAAAATCTTCTGAATAACATAATTAGAATTATAAGCAAAGATGGATAGTGGCTAGTCGTAAAATCCAGGACGCGCGTTTCGTCCTGTTTGAGACTCGTCAGCTGAATGTACCTGTATTTCAGAGTTTATGTTCATTATGTGACTCCAGCCCAGTACTGTTCACTTCAAATGTCATCACGTTATCCACTTAGCCACTTACTTGTTCAATGGTATGCAGGTACATCCAGTTGACGAGTCCCAAATAGAAAGAAACGTGCGGCCTGGATTCTACTGCTAGCCACTACCCATCTTTCCTTATGATGCTTGTGAATTACGGCTATAACGAAGCGAAACGCACAGGATGCATATATGGCCAATAAAAGATTGATCAATTTCAGTCTTAAACGTCAATGGGAATATTCAATCAAACAATAACAAGTGAATATAAGTAGAATTTATACTTTCTCTTTATTGACATTTAGGTTGGTAGTTGACTAACCTCTATTGCCATATATATATATATTCAAAAAAAGATTACCTATAGAGTTAGTCACAAGTTTAAGCCTATTCATTGTATGATTAGCAGCATTTAGAACTAGGATGAATGTTTCATTGTATTTATAACTCATCAGTAAGATATGCCTACATCTTAATGTCTATAGCTTCATAAAGCAACACATAGTTTACTATGCTATTCATTTCAGAAAATCACTAATTTATGTGATGGATACGAAGGTACTCGTAAAGATTTTTAATTTCTTCTTGGATTTATTCACTAATCGCATAAGAAATTGTAGAAAAAAAGCCTTTTATTTTTTAAAATTTACCTTTAAGACTATATCCAGGCAATACGCATAGTATGCATATATTCAAATAGAGACTGACCAGTTGCAGTCCTAACACATTGATAGAGAGATTCAAACAAACAATACTAAATGAATTTAAACTTCATTCCATTGCACAAGCAAGTGGCTATCAGGACTCAGTGGCCGAGTGGATAACGCGATGGTATTTAAAGTGAATGATACTGTGTTCGAGTCTCAGAGTGAATATCAACTGTGAGATGTAGGTACATCCATCTGACGAGTCCCAAAATAAGACGAAACGCACGTCCTAGATTTTATGGCTAGTCACTATCCATCTTTGCTTATCTTTAAGTAGTTAATTTTTTTTTTAAATTACCATTAATCAATTTATTTTTTTTAATTTCTTCACAACAACAAAAAAAAATTAAAAGGCGGGAATTACGAAGACGTCGTACAACCGTTTTATTAGAACAACTTATTCCACGTGATTTAGAAATTATCTATGATGATATGGAATTAGAAATGAAAGTGAAAGTAATGGAATTATTTATTAATGATTTACGTGAATCTGGACGTAAAACTAATATTGATATGGAAAAATTAGATCAATCTATGCAACGTTTAAAAGAGTATTTAGATACACGTTATGGTAAATCATGGCATATTATTACATCAATTAATCAACATTTGGGAAGATTTAGTTATGAACCAAATACATTATTTCATTTTTGTTTAGGTAGATTTGTTGTATTAATATGGAAAACACCATGTTCTGCTTAATAAATAAAAAGAAAATAATAATAAAAAGAATAACTGTAACACTATCATCCACCCCCTAGTAACAACATGTTCAATCTGTTCCCCAAATTCTCCTTATTTAAGTTTACTACTTTCAATAATGTAGTCAGTTCGTTGTTTTACTGACTTATTTTCTTCTTTTAATTCTGTATTTATTATAAGGACTACTAATATATACATCTTTATTCAAAAGGCAATTAGGGTTTTTATAATTATTTATATACATATATGCATATATTACCTTTTTGAAATTGAAATATGCTATTACTGAGAAAAATGCATATGCAAGCAATCTTAAAGCAGACTACTACTACCACTACTACTACTATTAGTACTACTACTATTACTACCACTACTACTACTACTACCACTACTACTACTATTACTACTACTACTTCTACTACCACCACCACTACTACTACTACTATTACTACTACTACTACCATTACTACTACTATTACTACTACTACTTCTACTACCACTACTACTACTACTACTACTACTACTACTACTACTACTGCTACTACTACTAATACTACTAATGCTAATACTAATACTACTACTAATAATAATAATAATAAAATTTCCATTACCATTGTGATACACTTCCGTCTCAGTGCTTGATAGAACTCCCTCTATAAACTGCACTATCTATCAAAGTTACGAAAAGACAAACACATAACCCTGTTGTAGGAGAGTACAGTAATGATATTAGTCTTTGAGCTGTTGTCTTTTACTATAAACTGCACAATTACACCTGACAGTATGATTGGTAGTAAATATCATCTTTTTGAAAGTCATATTCAACGACTGAGATTTCCGGACACTAGTACTGATGATTAGAAATCCCCTTCTGTACCTTTATAAATAATGATTCTTATCAATTTAGTGATCATCCTGAAACATCCTATCATTTCTTCAGAGCCTCTACAATTTTTGTTGCAGTTTCCGTATTTAAGATTTGGTATTTTTCTTCTGAATACAATGAATATTAGTTTATTTGAACTGTCTTAAGTCAAAACGCATTCTCTTGAATTCCATAGCGACCTATCAAATTTTCATATCAGTGGTTGTCAATGCTATATTGGTAGTCAACATTCCTGCTTCCTAACATAAATGTTGAATATATCTTCTTGATTAGACGATGACTATCACTAAATATATAAAGCCAGTGGTTTAAATCATAGGCCGACTGACATACCACGTGGGTGGGAGTATATTATTTTGGTTTCTTATAAAGCACTTGAAAAAAGATGAATTATATAAAAGCTCTTGCTTCTGGCTTTAACCATATATCAACCATTGAATAATCTCACCATCTCATAACTTACTTCCGTCCCAGTGCTTGACAAAGCTCCCTCTATAAAGTGCACTATCTATCAAAGCTACAAGAGAAAGACACATAACCCTGTCGTAGGAGAGTACAGTAATGTTATAGTCTTGGAGATGCTGTCTTTTACTATAAACTGCACAATTACTCATGACAGTATGACTGGTAGTAAGTTTCATCTTTCTGAGAGTTCTATTCAACGGTGAGAATCGCTGTACTGTGGACCATCTAGTAATCTAGCTTATTCATCTTCTTAAACGTAATAGTGTTGCTTCTTCAACAGCGACGACAAATAACCACATCATCAAATTTCAGTCCCTGTCCATTTTTATCCGTTTACCTTGAAAGTGACTGAAAACAAAATAATATAGTGGACAACATAAGTTACTCCTTACACAATTCTTAAACGACTACAATTGTTAAAGAACATGTTGCGGTAAATAAATCCTCAAAATAAATAGTTCTATAAGTCTTTGACATTAATGCTGGCCTCACTAGTTTTACTGGAGACATCCTAGCTAATGAAACTAGGTCACGCATCCGCACCAGGTCACAACCATGTACACAGAGTGACGCATCAATCGTCTTACAAACATATCTTCAAACCTTTTCATTCCTGACTTCTGGTTTGGATGAGTATAAGATTCTCGATTATAAAGGTGTCACAGATAATAGAGTTTTCCAGCCCTGTATATCCGTGGCATCTTAAGATAACAAGGTGTTGTTAAGTCATCAACTATTGACTAAAGCTACCAAAATGTTTTCTCCCCAAGAGATGCTTTATGCAGTAAATCATTTTACTGCTCAAGAAGTGAGACTCATTGAAATAATGTATATGTATAAAAAATTCTAAATAGCATATTTATAAGAGAATTAGATTAACTGTGATTTTAAGTGTCCAAACGAACAGTAACCATTTGCCTTTTTCATCATATCAAGCAACCACAGCAACTTGAGAAAGTGGTATTTTTCAAATCTTCCTATTTTTTTTACCGTAACTAAAGGTATCAAGTGCATTTTAAACAAAAACATCCCAAAAGAAGTTTACTGATTTTTTGTTTCTTACAAACACTTTTGTTATATCCTAGCGAAAACATAAGTATGGGTGAATTCTGGCACCTAATAATGGACGATTATTCTATGTACATTCTTATTGTTTAACTATTGAGTAATTAGATTATGTATATCTATATTCATCTTATTATAAGCTTCATTTTGACCTATAGACTATTATGATACGATTTACTGTCCCTAAATTATACTCAGTTTATTGATTATTGTCTCCCATGTTCACAGCCACATTTGGCTTGATCTTGTACAAATATTTTTTCTATTTTATTATGTGATGCCGTCTGTCTTTCTGGTAAATATAAACCGAGTATGCTTGAAATAAATGATGCACATAGATTCGTATAGCAGAAGCTGTAATTGGTGTTCTGGACTCAATTGAAAAGACCAGGCGAACAAGGGACCAATAAGGACTCTAGACTACTCATACTGGTCGAACGTCATTGATTTGTCACAGTGTTAAGATTGGAAAAGTCGTATTTCGATTGGTGTATAATTCACGTGATAAAAGCCGCAACTAAAGTCAATAACGAATTAGCATACATCCTATTCTTATTTTTTTATAAACTCACAACAACTTTAGTTTTTTGAATTTTATTTACAAAAGTAGTTACTTTTAGATAACTCTCGTTTTTCGTACACGAGTAGTGTCTTTTTAAGTTTCGTAATCTTTTCATTTGTGTCAATTTGTAGAAGAAATGGCTGATGTAACTCATTAATGTAGTAGATTTAATTGTTGTTCTAAGCACAATCCTGATGTTTCTAAGCAATGCTAAAAATCTAAGTTACAATAGTTAGGTACATAGGATTGTTCTGAAAACTCTTAATTGGTGATTGGAACTATGGAGTTAGTGAAAATGGATTTTTAGCAAAGTAGCCTGTTCTAAATAGGACCTGTCGTTCGATAAAATGGGTACTGATTCATCATGTGTAATATGTGAAGAAAGTCACATAATCGATAAATATTCTCGATTATCCACGTTAGCAGTCAATGATAGTTGGCGAAGTCTGAAGAAAAGAGATTATGTTTTTTTGTCTACAGTGATCTTGAATGATGTTAGAGGTATGAGGACAATCATCACTTTCCTGTTACCCTTTTTAAGGAAGGGTTTTTCAAGAGGTACCTGAAAAAGAAATTGAATTATAAGTGGTTTTAGTGACCTGAGAGCGTGACCGCAGTGTCCATACGACCTTTATGTGGGTAATTTTCGTGTTAACTCCGTACTTGTTGGGACCTTACCTCCGGAGATGAATATCGTTTGGATAAGGCGATGTGTGCAATTTTAGAATGGACCTTTTCTAACCCCACCACTCCTTATGGGAAGGCAGCTTCGCTGTTATGCTGGTTGTCTTACGGAAACATCTTACTGTCGTCACACTTCTGTCCAGTTGGCAGTACAACTTCGCCTTCAGACATTGGGTTTGCTGCTTTTAGTCTTACCGCTCTTCAACCCATCTGCCTGCAATAGTAGGACCTTGAGGAACGATTGTTCCAGTCAGTATAGCTCAATTGTTTCATCACGATGGGCAAGCTCGACCACCACGTCAAGGTAGCGGCGACGGTTGGGTTTTCTTGTCTTGGAAGGAGCCACAGATCAGTGGATTGTTGAACGCATCTCGTGTGTAACATCGAAGGTTTTTAGGATCGGTATTACCCACTGTTGCATAACAACATACCTAAGTTTCGGGAGTTCTGGGAATAGCTGGTGAAGCAGAGATCGTAAGTATATACGTCGTAGATGTCATCATTTCATTATGTTAATAAATATGGAGTATGCTGTTTATTAAGTGAATCTAGTATATTTTCCGTAGTCTATGAACTCAAGTACACTGATAGCTCATTTAATTCCTAGGAATAATTTAAAGACTTTTTATCTCTCAACTTAAACGGACGATAGCACCTGCTTATACAATTTCAACTGGTAGCTCATTCCAGATAACATACAACTTACGTAGAAAGGTGTTTCGGGTACTGTAGTCTCATAGTTCTGTATATAGACTAGTCTGGTGTGATTTCTTAGAGCGTTCATGAATATCTCTCCAATATTACTGTTAGATTTGAGAAGTGTTGCGGATGATATGTCAACCTGAAGGGTAACTTCGAATTGAGCCCAGCTCTACTTTTCTAAAGAGGCTCTGTAGTGAACTACTTTTGTGACGAGAACACGATTGGGATAATAGAAACAATTAATATTATAACCAATTGTATCAGTGATCGTTTTATTGTACTTGTTTGTTAAGTGCACCAAAGATACATTTCCTTCCGTTGCCTATGACCTTGTACGAACTCGAATACTCTCGGTAATTCCGCTTGTAATCTTTGACACGTCTCGGTATTCTTTCAAGATCACAAATATATCTTATTGCAACCATCAACAGCCTTCTGTTTTCTGGCTTACTCAGGGATCCAACTCCATATCCGGCACGCAATCTTCTTGTAGTGGTGATCATTTTCAATCGCGACTCGACGACATCTACAGGTGAACGCTTAATTTACCATACCATGTAAAGCGATTCTGGTCACACTCCTCCTCCTAACACCGTTTCTATGAAATGCCGCTGTACTTCTTTGTAGTGAACAACTCGACCAAACGACTGGGATTGCCGTTTATTTGAATCCCACGATAAGATGAGTATAAATTCTCGTCTCAATTAGCTTATAACTAAATGCAACTACCCAATTAATGACATAAACAGGATCAATCAATCAATAAAAACTTTACTTCAAATGTATTTTCTATCTTACTGTGTTGCAGGTGATACTTCTTCAATTTTTTTTACTTTCTACCTACTTGTACGCTGCTGAGCTTAAACACTCAGAATCCAACATCTGAGAGAACGAAAATTATGTATTGTGTCATTCTAGACTAACGACCGTAGGTATTAATAACAATTATAACAATTATTATTAACAACATTATAACTTAGCAGCATACTAACACATGACCTGACATGAGTTTGCCGAGGTCACAACGTGGACGTAATGCCATTTTAAAACAGATCAAAAATACTGTAATCACAAAACATTTCTAATGCATATACCTAACAATGAAATCGCTGGCCCATTTGAATGAATGCAATGCATTTATTTTCATTGATTTTATCTCTTTAACAATCCTACCTGGAAAGCATCTTATATGTGAACCACTATTGTAAATCATTGATTATGTCCGTAAAGATGGCGTATACCTACTCCGTCAAAAATATATACTACATTTAGCTCATA